GCATGCCTGGGCTGGGCCTGGAGATGTGGCTAGGGCCTGGACATGTACCAGCGTTCACTGTCCAGGAGGCTTCTGATGACTGTTTTCAGAGTCGGGAGTATGGGCTCAGCACAGCGTAAGCTAGCCAAGCTAAAGGGAAAGACTGGGCTAGCTCCCTCTGCAACCCAGCCTCCTGTTCTATCCGTACTAATCACAGGTCTTTGCACTATAGCAGCTGGTAGCTGAGCTCTGACCGTGACCTGTGCTTTGGTTTCCTTACCTGCCAGTGGTGATATTCACTATGCCTACAAATGGTAGGTCTGCTCTGGAGTGTCTGGTGCTCAGAACTGTGCCTGCCCCATGCTCAATACTCAGTCATTAGCAAATGCTGTTCTCCGGCTCAGACATTTCCTTGCTGACACATGCTGGGAGCTCAGGGACACATCCTGATACTTGCTCACGCGTAGGGTCCTGGGTGCCCAAGAACACTGCTTTGGGCTCAGACCCTGCCACAGGGCTTTCTTGAGAGGACTTGTTCTTCCACCCCCATCAAGCTGGAGGCCAGAGGAAACGGCAACTTTCTTCGCTGGGAAAGTGTTGTGCGGCTCAGGCGTTTGGGGGTTTTTAGAGTCAACCGTCAGAGGCGAGGGAGTTTCTCTGCTGGTGGTGACAGGGGCTGTCAGCGAGCTCTCAGCCTTGTGAACAGACCGCTGCGGTCTGCAGGGAAAATGTCGACTATGTTTATTTTTTTACCTGAACCTGCAGGAAGTGGGGGGCCAGGGGCAGCCTAGCTGGGCCCAAGCTCAACTCCAGAGTAGAGCTCAGGGGTCCCCCATTTCTACCTTGTTCTGCCTTGTCCTGAGGTGGTAGCCAGGTAGGGTGCTGGAGTTGGGGGCTTCCCAGAAGATACCTTTAGGGACAGTAGCTGAGGGTGGGTGTGGGAGAGTCTTTGAACAGTAAGAACGTGCTGGTAGTAGGAAGGACCACCTCTGTTGGGAGGGAGCCGGTTACCAGGTAGGCTAGATAAGTCCTGGCAGGAGTATCAGGGTACCTGTAGGCACTGAGTCCTGTACCTGTCCTGAAGTGCCACAGGCTGGTTCAGGAGCAGCTGCCAGAGCTCAGGCAGAGGCAAGGAGTGTGGATGTGGGGTGGCCAATGTGAGGGAAAGCACCAAATACAGTTGAGTCCCTGGCTCCTGTTTGCATCTTTATGCCCCTCCATGTTCTGGCATCTACCGTGTCCTTTCCCTCAGTAAGGAGCTGAGGCGCTGTGCTGTTGAGGTGCTCAGTGCCTGGTGGGGACAGTTAGCCCAGACCTGCCTTGTTCCCTTGGAGGCTAGGGACAGTCACCCTCAGGCAGCAGAGGGAGGTGGAGCCCAAGTCCCTGAACTTGCCATGCACACGCCAAGCCCTGGGCAACCCCACCCTGTTGTCTGGGAAGCCTGGCACTGAAACAGCCTGTGCCGAAGCCCTGGAGCGGGACGTTCTACTGGCTGAGGGGGGCAGGGAGCCTGGTGCCAGACGGTTCCCCCTGGCTAGCACCACCAAGCATGGAAGGGGCTAAACAGTGGGGTCAAGAGGCAGACAGCACAAACTTGGGAAGGACTAGCCAGGCCCTCAATACCTGCCCTAGAGCCCTGGCCTCCCAGGGCCTCTAGCTGCTGGTGGGCTCTTTGCCCTACCCTGGCCACCCAGTGCTTCTGTGGTTTGTCTGCAGACTTCCAGTTAATGAGGCTTCCCCCTCCAAATACGGGAAAGACGAGTAGGCAGGACAGGCCTACCATTCCCAGGATCCTCAACTGCCTTATCTCACTGCCTTGCACATTCACACCCATGTACATACAGAGCAGGCAGGAGTTGTAGGCTGAGCTGGGCTGGATCTGAGGCTTCTCGGATACAGTCCGAGCTGCACAGCAACCTGGCCCTCAGGAAGCAAAACTGGACCTTAGGTAGGGAGTGGTATGATGCCTGTGCCATGAGGTCTAATAATCCCGAAGGAGTAGAGTTGCCATGAGGCTGTACTGTCTTGGAATCTATGAGGATAAAAAAGGCCTTGAAGATTGTCAGGAAGCTTTCTATTGTAAAACTGCCTCAGCAGTTGCTCCTCAAAACTAGGACAAAGCCAGACTTTTTTTTTTTTTTTAAATGACTGATGAGGTAGGGAAGACTGATATTCTCATTCCTTCCCAGAAGACAGGAGGCTCAGATCGGGATCCTGGAGTGCCAGGATCAGGAAATGGTTAGCAATCGTGGAGCTTCCAAGCTTCCTTCATACCATAGTATATCTAAAAGCTTAACCCTGGTTAAGGGTGCTGTGGGGTTCCTGGGCACTATAAGCAGACACAGTGGAAAGCCCTGCTGTTAGGGAGCTGGGAGTGGTCACACAGAGCTATCATCAGGTAAGGAGACAGAGGCAGGGAGGCTTTAGGCAGAGTGATCTCTGTGTCTGCTGGAGCGTGGCTAAGGGGCAAAGAGGGTAGTAGTCCAGGTGAGAAATAATGTCTGGTTGGGAAGGAGACAAGAAGTGGTTAGAGTCTAGAGTTTTGAAGGTAGAACAGTAGAATTCACTGAGAAATTGGACATGTGGACAGGGGAGGTCAATATCAAGAACCACAAGGAGCTGGAGAGATGGCTCAGAGGTTAAGGGCACCGGCTGCTCTTCCAAAGGTCCTAAGTTCAATTCCCAGAAACCACTTGGTGGCTTACAACCTTCTATAATGAGATCCGGTGCCCTCTTCCAGTGAGCAAGTGCACATGCAAGGCAGAACACTGTACACACACACACACAAAAAAAAATCTTAAAAAGAAAAACGTCACTACAAGATTATCTGATCTGCATGGTGTGACCAGTTCCTCGATGAATGGAAGGGTGCTGCTGCCAGGAACTGAGGAAGCCCACAGCATACCAGCAGAGTCAGAGGTTCTGACTTGAGGACTGAGGATGTGGCTCAGTAATGGAGCGCTTGTATGAGTGTGGAGTTTAGGGACATTTTAGGCATGGAGTTGAGTAGGTTATTTGGAGAGTAGAATTCCTAGCAGTGAGGCCTGGAATCAAATGTGGAATCAGTTAGGCATTGTAGCACATACTTTTAGTTGTCACAATCAAGGCGCAGAGAGACAGATCTGTTTAGGCTAATCTGATCTTGATCTACAGAGTGAATTTCAGGACAGCCAGGGTTACATAGTAAGAACCAGTCCCCCCCCCCAAAAAAAAAAATCATCAGATTGATGCTGTTTTGTTGTCCAGGTTTTATTTTTAATAGTGTGTATATGTATGTGCTGTGAGGGCCACAGAGGACATTGGATCCTCTAGAGCTCTAGTTACAGGCTTCTAAGAGCAGTATGTGCCCTTAACTGCTGAGCCATCTCACCAGTACCCAGACTGAAGATGAGCCATTCCTTAGACGATGAGTGAACAGGAGAATCAACACCAGGGCTAAAGGAAAAATAGCCTGTAAAGTTGGAGGGAAAAGAGGCAAGAGGGTATCCTGAAAGCCAACCAACAGAACTTGATTTAGGAAGGGGGAATCGGTTGTTTCTTACGAGTGCAAGGGATTTGGGGAAATGGTAACTGAACTGAGGATTTTGGAAGTCATTGAGGATGTTGACAGAGGTCTTCTTTGGGCAAGAGACAGGTTAGGCTGAAGGGAGAGTGAGAGCTGATCTGGAGGCAGTGACTGAGGCTGAACTACGAAGAGTTCTGTAGAGGGGGAGGGTTGTGAGGTGATACCTGGGAGATGATTCAGACAGGAGAAGCAGCACCCGTTTGTGCCCTGGTGGCAATTAGAGTACGTTTGTAAGGTGCTCAGTGCCTCCATGTCTACACACCTCACAGCTATCCCGGCTCACACCTCTCCTCTCTTAATGGACACACTCTGTGACTCTGGCTGTTGTTGGCTTGGAACTATGGAGACCAGGCCAGGCTTGAACTCAGAGATCCATTTGCATCTGCTTCCTGAGACTGGGATTAAAGGTGAGCACCAACATGCTTGGCTTCAGACATCAACTCTGGTTTGGCCTGGGTAGCCCAAGACATGAAGGAAAGGTACAGCTTATTGTTGAAGGGAGGAATGCAGGGAAAGATGGTAGACCAGGACTTCTGTGGAGATCTACTGGAGCTGTGCCCATGCACAGGTCTCACGCCCTGGTTACAGTGGGCTCATGCCCAGCTTCTCCTCTGGCTTTACCCTAGAGCTGCAATAGCCAAATAACAAGCCAGGGACCTGTGCTAAGCCTCATTCATGACCAGGAAAGGATACCCAAGAACTGAGGATTGTTCTGCTGAAGTGCTCACAACAGACTTCATCTGCTTTATCCTGGTGTTCTCTCTACTGTCTTGCTCCAAGATGTCTCATGTCTTCCTTTTGTGCCGCAGTGAGCAGTCACTCCCGCGTGCGCTCAGCCAGCAGCATCCCCACAGACAAGTTTGTCTGGGTGGAAGGAAGCTGAGCCTCAGTTGTAGATATCTCCACAACTCTGGCCTGCAAGGGCATGCACTGAAGGCACTAGGCCGGGCAGCGACTCCCTGTGGCTGAGCTCTCTCAGCCTACTGAGTCATCTGTTGACATAACCATTTGACTGAAAAGTAGGAGTCCTGCAGTGTCAAGGAAACCAGAAGAGCAGTATCTGGGCAGGCTGTCCCTGGAGGGAGCCAGATAGCAACTTATCCCACCCAGGTTATGGGGCCAGAGGAGGTCCCTGCCCTGGGACAACTAATTAGAACTGAGGTGGGACAGTCTGGAAGCAGTTAGCAGGAAAAGGCTGCAGACAGCCATTGGGCTTCAAGGAGTCTCTGGGACCAGGAGGCCAGAAAGCACTTTCTGAGAGGAGAAACCCCGAGTGTCCCAGAAGAGGCTCACTAGGAGATGGGATTGTATAGCAGTCTCCAGGACTGCCTGGGGGCAGGAAACCAGTGCCCTTCCCATGGCTTGTGGTTTGACCGCCAGGCTGGCCACAGAGCTCACTGAATGGCCCCCTGCCTCAGAACACTCCATGCTTACCAGCCTCCTGGTCATTTTCCAGCATAACAAGGCCGGCCAGTCCCCACATGGCGCTCCCCAACTTTCTCCGCTCTACGATCATTTCAGTAGTCCACACTCCACCCCTGCACCTACGGACATCAGCCAGAAGCAAGGTATGGGCCAGGGACGGGAGAAGGCTGTTGCGGTGGGAACTTGTGGCCCAAGTTCCTGGCTAAGGCCACCTAGGCTGGCCCACATTTTATAACAGAAGAAGCTTTGCAAACTCAGGGCCCAAAACAAAGGTCAGAAAGGAACCAGGTGTGGTAGTGCACACCTGTGATCCAAGTAGTTTGGAAGGCAGAGGCCGAAGGATTGAAAGTTTGGGATATACCGTGAGTTCCAGACAAGCCTGGGCTCAGAAAGGGACTTGAGAGTCTGACAGCACCAAAGGGCATGGGAAGGTGGTACCAGGTCGAAATGTGAGGCTTCTGGTGCCCCATGCCAGTATGAGCACAGCATCCTTACACTGCTGCAGCTGTAAAACTCATGGCCTTTTTCCCCCAGTGAGAAAATGGAAAGTGGTGGTTATGATGGCTGATTCACCTTAGCCTCAGCCAAAGTCATTCTGAAATCCACCATTGTCAGCTGTGGGAAACCTGCTGACTCAACCCTGGGGCTGGGTGGAGCCTTGGCTCTTCAGGTCAGGTCTAGGGGCTGCCTTCTACCCAAAGATAGGTCAGAGTCCTAAGCAAAGGCTCCCAAGGCAGAGCAGAAGTGCACCAGGAACTGGTGACATCGGACCTCTCATTCCTGAGTGACTCCCAGCTTTACCTCTGTCTAAGCAGTGTCCTAAGGCAGTCACTCAGCACCTCTGTTCCTTGGTTCCTTTGCTTTGTCAGAAGCCATTGTTGTTACCCTGGGGTAGTACTAAGCAAACGTGACCTAGGCCTTTAGCAAATGGAAGCTGGATCTTAGAGGCCCCTGTAGAAGTCTCCAAGGTACAGTACCTGCTGAATGTCCCAACCTCCCAGGTCAGGGTGCCCTGCTTACTTGGACCCTTTTCACTACAGGAGTTCACAGGCCTCTGCAGACCCCTGATCTGTCTGGATTTTACTCTCTGACCTCAGGCAGTATGGGACAGCTCCCCCACACTGTGAGCTGGTAAGTATGGGCCCAGAGAAAAAGAAACACTGTATGTACCTCCTGTGCTCCTGCACTACCCATCTTGTTGAGACCTGAGCTGCCAGCTCTGTAGCCAGCAACTTTAGGTGAACCTACTTCTGGGCTTACAATCCTTGTGACTGAACTTTCCCCAGGTAGCTTGACATTCTTCCTTTCGGGAAGTAGGAAAACTGGCTACTGGTCTCAACCCTACTGTAACTAATTCTCTAGAAGGTGAGGAAGAAAAGTTGGACTGAGCAAGGAGTTGGTATAAATCACCACGAAAGGAGAGGCTGCTGCCTCTCACAGCTGCCTGGTTAAGCAGGCAGTTAACTTCCTGGTGGCCTCAGTGTCTGCTGCTGGTCTGTCCCATCCGTGGTGGAGCTGTATGAGGGACAGGATCCTTCCTGGTCTCGGATGCTTGCTGAGCCACACTCGTGACCAGCCTATTGGAAGGTTCTACTAAGACAGGATCATGCCTGACTGGGCTAGAGTCTGTTCCCAGCTGGAATGGGGTCTCAACAGGGCGCTTGACTGGACTTTTACTCATGAACCGTAGAGTGACCTGAGCAGGTCTGTAACTGAATACAAGTGAGCCTACCCCATGATTACCCTAAGAACCAAGGTGGGACATGGAACTCAGCCTGATGGTGCCAGGCCAATGATCTGAACAGGCAACTTTCTGGACAGCCTCCTAAGTCTTTAGGCCTGAAGCTCCAAAGACTAAGAAATCTGAACCTTAAGAGGTTATTCATCGGGGGCTGGGGAGATGGCTCAGTGGTTAAGAGCACTGTCTACACTTCCAAAGGACCCTGATTCAATTCCCAGCAACCACATGGCAGCTCACAACTGTGATTCCAGTTCCAAGAGATCTGACACCTTCATAGAAAATGCACATAAAATTAAATTATATATATATATGAAAGGTTATTCACCAACTGAGCCTCCAGGGAAGGCTGTAGGCCCAGGGAAGGGGAAACTCTATGTTCTTAGCTACTGCCAGGTGAGAATGGAGCATTCACCCTCTGCACTGAGACCTGTATGTGCCAGGAAGGAATCTTGGTGCCAAAGAAACACTGCTGGAGTTGATTGTGACCTTAGGTCTCTGCCCTTTCGAAACAACATCTGCCTAGTGGACAACCAGGCAAGAAGCCAGGAGTTATGGGGTACTTGATTTGGAACTATAGAAGCCCAAAGAGGCACCTCATTGATCTTGGAACTCCTGGGCTTTTGAGTTGAAGCAGGGGCTGAAGAGATGATTCAGCACTAAAGAGCACTGGCTGCTCTTCCAGAGGACCCAGCTTTGGTGCCTAGCACCCACATAGGAGATCCAAGCCCATCTTTGGACCTCCTAGAGCACCAGGCATGCATGTGGTACACAGACATTCACACAGGCAAAACAATCATGCACATTAGAAAACAATGAGACAGAAAGAGTTGAAACAGGCAAATTGGGACAGAAGAGCAATCCAGACAGTGTCAGTAGGGATATAGTCTCAGCTTCTGGGAGGAGGCTGCCAGATACATGCACCTACCACACAAGGTACAGAAGTCCTTCCCATGTCTGGCTAGCAGTCAGACGGCTAACAGCTGTCTCTCCAACCACAGGCCCAGCCCTCCTCTCTACCCCCTGTCCCCTTCCTGCGGATATAGACAGCACTTCCCTGCCCCCACTGCAGCCCCTGGCGCCCCCTATCCCAGGTGAGTCCCCTATCCCTGCAGCCAGGCTCCTGCTTCCTGTTGCCCAGGCTTCAGTGCCCACCCAGGGCTATGTTCAGGCCAGTGCTTATCCTGTGTTAGTTGTTTGTCTGTCTGTCTGTCTGTCTGTAACTTTGTAGTCCCATGCTGCTCTGTGCCTGGGGATACAGCTAGAAGTCTCATCTCGAGCTCCACTGGACAGAGCATCCCAGAGCAGCCAGGACAGCAATGCCTTTGTGATTGATGCAGCTCTGCTGCTCACCCCTGCTGGGCATCCTCTGAGCCCTGCCCAAGCCTTTTGGATAGTGTCCCTAGCCTCTGTAAGCAGCAAAGGACAGAGTAGTCTCCACACAATGGCAGGGAAGGTGTGTGTGAGGGTGAGTGTGGAGATGCTCCCCATTCCTTTAGCTCATTCTCCTAGTGATAGACCTAGGGCCAGGCATGCCATGGCAAGGCATTTTCAGCAGCCCAGGGTAGGAAATAGAGATACAGCACCAACAGCTGAATGGCCCAACTGGGCTAAAGACAGCCCCAAGAGGACCTCATCCAGGCATGATGGGTCAGAGAGGATTATGGGAAGCAATTTCTCAGAAAGGTAGATACAGAAGCTGGAGCTAGCTGGGAGATAGGGAGGATAATGGTGACAGGGAAGTAGGAAGATGGGGAGAAATGTAGTATAAGTGCTCAGGTAAGGTTGTAAAGGCCCCAAGAAGCAGGCTAAGTTTTATTCTGTTGTGTAGCAGGAAAACTTGAGCTGGGGTGGGCCAGAAGCATTCTTGTAAAAAAATCAGTCTGTTGTGTAGAGAAGAGCCTGGAGGAATGAAGCAGGAAAGCAAAAAGGCCCATAGGTAGTCACAGGCTCCTGAGTTTGTCTATAGGGGCAGGATTAATAACCACTTGAATAGCACATATGTGAACCTTTTGCAGTGTCTGTGTAAACATATGTGTGTGCCTGTGTCCAGACCAGTGGACATAAGGTATCTGTCAGTTGTGTCCTCTGTGCAGGGACCTCCATGTGTGTTAAAAGTCTAGGCCAAATTTTTGGTTTAGTGTTGCCTTTCCTCCTTCCTCCAGGTTCACCCATCCATCTTTGATGCTGGGATCTGGGGTACCTGGCCACCCAGCAGCCATCCCTCACCCGGCCATTGTGCCCTCCTCAGGGAAGCAGGAGCTGCAGCCATATGACCGAAGCCTGTGAGTTGAAACACAGGCTGGGAGGAGGGGACAAGAAGGTGTGAGCCGGGCAGGTGAGCAGAGTGGTTTGGTCAGCCAGGACATAGTATGCTTCCCGCCAGGTCCAAGGCCCCCTTCCTGGCATCTCAGAGAACTGCCTGGAGGGCTCTGCCAAGCTTTCCTGTGGCTTTGGCACTGACCATTGCTGTGCTTTGTAATCTTCAAAAGCAAGAGTAGATGGGGAGGGATAAGGAAAGAAGAAAAAAAAAATTGAGCCAAGAAGGGTGTTTGAGTTTCGGTGTGCTTTCACACGTGGCCATGGTATTCTTGAAACAGTTCACACTCTGCTCACTCATACGGGGCAATTGGAACATTCTGCTTATAAACCGCTACATAAAGAGTGGCGTAGCTGGCCTTTAGTCCCATCACTTGGGAGGTAGAAGCAGGCTGATCTCTGTGTTCAAGGCCAGCCTGGTCTACACAGTGAGTTCCAGGATGGTCAGGGCTACACAGAGAAGTCCTGCCTCAAACAAACAGAGTGGTGGCATTAGGTAATGGTCACCAGGGTAGGGGGAACTTCCCAAGTAATGTAATCTGGTTGTGTACCCCAGGAAAACACAGGCAGAACCCAAGGCAGAGAAGGAGGCTAAGAAGCCCATCATCAAAAAACCCCTCAATGCTTTCATGCTATACATGAAGGAGATGAGAGCCAAGGTCATTGCAGAGTGCACACTCAAGGAGAGCGCTGCCATCAACCAGATCCTGGGTCGAAGGGTAAGGCCATGGGCAAGTGGGCTGGCAGGGATTACCCCCAATCCCTTTCACACCTTCCTAACTCCATGTTGCGTGTCACCCACCGGTTCCACGTTGCAGTGGCACGCGCTGTCTCGAGAGGAGCAGGCCAAGTACTATGAACTGGCCCGTAAGGAAAGGCAGCTGCACATGCAGTTGTACCCAGGCTGGTCGGCGCGGGATAACTATGTGAGTGGCTGCAATAACCACGGGGGAACAGGGGAACCTCTGAGACACCATACCCAAAGCAACAACCTCAACATGGGAAAGGGGATTTGTCTTGATAGTATAGGCAAAACAACACAGGCAAAGACAACTCCCCCCACCCCCCTTGACTATTTCAGAAGGAGAAAGCTTAAGCAACTTCCCTTGAAGGCAGTTATCCACTCCCGAATTCATTCACTTATGGGATTGTTGCCCAGTATTTGGTTTGGCTAAGTGAGAAGGGGAAGGAAAGGGCCTGGAAATCCCTCCTGTACTCAAATAGGAGATCAGATGGAGGGAGGGACCCCTAAACATATCCTTTCTACAGTAGCCTTGCAAGAACTACAGTCAAGAAAGAGGAACCCCAAAGTAGGAGGCCTATTGGTCTAGAATCCTAGAGGCAGTAGGCTGCAGATAGCCCAGTGTCCACCTCCCAGAAGCAACTATCTCTTATTCCTGCAGGGAAAGAAGAAGAGGCGGTCAAGGGAAAAGCATCAAGAATCCACCACAGGTGAGGCATTGCTTCAGTAGCAATAGAGGTTCCTCTCCACATTCCCATTTCAAGAGCAGCCCTGCTTTGGCCCAAGGGTGGGGTATAATACTCAGCCAGGAACCTTCAGGGCCTGAATCCTCTGGAAATATAGCTTCATCTCTTTAAATCTAATTCCATGCACTTAACAGCTTAACTATAGGAACAGACCTGCTGATACACCCCTATGCCCTTACTGCTCACAGCTAGGTTTCACCAAAAAAGCTGAGGAACTGATCATATGGTCCCATATTTCAACCAAAAATGTCAAGCTAGGACCCAATAGTAATCACACAGGTACCTGGCAATTTTTCCATCACTTGTTTCCATTTCTCATGGCAGTTCATAATGATACAGAACCCAGAGAACCTATCCTGCTGTAAGCCTAATTGTTGTCCCCATCTCTGATTTAGTTCATAGTTCATGACATTTTCAGTTGTGTTGCCCACACACAGGAAAGCTAGAGTTTAGGACTGGGGTAGGACAGGAAGAAATCCCCTAGCCCTTTCTCTGAGGATAGGAGCAGGTTTTTCCATCTGTAAGTATACTAATTATACACTAGGAATAATTATGCTGTACCTTCAGTCTTATTAGGATGTGGGCCAGAGGGAGATAGGACATTGACAAGAATGAAGAAAGACTACATAAAACATGCAGGTAGTTGGGGAGAGAGAACGGACAGCCCCAAGATTTAAAAAAAAAAAAAAAAATGCAGAAGCCCTCAAGGCAGCTATGCAGTTCTGGAGCCTCCATGCTAGGATGATGATCAGCCAAGGGAAGGATAGCATGAAGACCCCTCCCCCCATTCCATCATTCTTCCCACTGATTCTTTTACCCAGCTGGGTGACTGCCTTTTCTCATACCTTGCTCTGGGTCCTAAGGCTTCCCCTGGGGCTGGCTATGCCATGGAGAGGTCCATTCTGCCTGTGGGGGCTATGGGGTGTCTACAACTGGCTAACACTGATATTACCTCTTCTCTCTGGGCCCTGTCCTGCCCTGCTGCCTGCCTGCTCGCCCTCTGCCCTGTTCTGCCCCTCTGGCATGGCTGTGAGCAGACCCTGGCTCGCCTAAGAAATGTCGTGCTCGCTTTGGCCTCAACCAGCAGACGGATTGGTGTGGTCCGTGCAGGTGGGTTTGTCCCCACCATCATTCTCCCTTTGCTTCAAGCTGCTTCCCTTATTGCACATGTTCTGCCGGGTCTGCAGCCCCTCCTTTGGTCCCTCAGTCCCCCACCAAGCCCTGTAGAGAAGGGAACCCACACCCTTCTAAGAATATGAGTGAACATTGGGCACAGCTTATAGAGATGACTGGTCCAGGTGGGACAAGTAGAGAGGGAGAAATAGTGTTCTAGAGAGAGAGAAAGGCATAAGCAAAGGTGGCTCTAGTAACCAGCCATGTTTACCAGGTCCTCAGAGAACAAATCTGTTACACATTTAGGTGGCCTGAGCCTCTGCTCCTAGCCCTGAAGTGATTAAGGTCCACAAACTCCATATTTTCGGTTTGTTTTGTTTTTTTGAGACAGAGATTTTCTGTGTAACTCTGGCTGTCCTGGACTCAATTTGTAAATCAGGCTGGCCTCAAACTCAGAGATCCACCTGCCTCTGCTTCACAAGTGCTGGGATTAAAGGCTTGTGCCACCATACCCAGCTCTTCATTTCTTTAAAATAAATTCTGTGTGTGGTGTGCTCACAGTAGGAAATGGAGACACCATGCTTAAAAGAGGTCCTATTCCATCCATTTGTGCTGGCTGGGGACAGGTGTACACCTGTAACCCAGCACTCAGGAGGTTGAGGCGAGCCAACCAGCACCACTTTGGGAGACCCCATGTGAAAAACAGCAAAAGACAAACTGCCCCCCAGAGCGCATTTCTTCTTTCACTAGCCTGGTGTGAGAACTAAGACTGCTTACAAGCATCACAGTCCCTTGCCTTACTGCCTATCTAATCCCTACAAATATACATGGAACAGTAGCTCAAAAGACCCAAACTAAGAGATGGTTCTCCTGGAAACAGGAGGCAGTCCACAGGCCTACCCACAAAAGGTTCCTTTTGCCACCTTGTGGCTGTTCTGTGTAACTGCATTTGTCCTAGGTCCGGGCCAGGTGGAGCTGAAAGAATGGGCATAGTTTCCCTGGCCTTGAAGAGAGGGGACAAAATGGTTATGGTTAGCCAGGCTATTCAAAGACAAGTCATTTTCTGGTTGTGGTGTGTGACTATGGATTCACCCTCTGTTTACAGATAATTCTCTTCACTATTCCTAGGAGGAAAAAGAAATGCATTCGGTACTTACCCGGAGAAGGCCGCTGCCCCAGCCCCGTTCCTTCCGATGACAGTGCTCTAGGCTGTCCCCGGTCCCCAGCTCCCCAGGACTCACCCTCTTATCTTCTGCTGCCCCCTTTCCCCACGGAACTGCTTGCTAGCGCAGTGGAGCCAGCACCAACATTCTCAGGTCACTCTGCAGCTCTCACTCTTCCAGCCTCTGAGTCCCCAAAGATCCCCCTCAGCACCCTCCAGAATACACAAGTACAGCAACAGGAATCTCAGAGACAGGCAGCCTAGCTAGCTTTGCTTGCCAGACACACAACACCTGGCTTGCTCCAGGGTCTCACCCCTAACTCAAGAGGCGGCACATGGAACCAGCTAGGAGTCCTCTTAAGGTGGTGAAGATTTCAAAGGCTGCACTGCTCCTCGAACCAGAGGCCATCAATTCAAGTGGTGGGGATGAGATCTGTGTAGCTGTATCATCTTACTAAGGGCATCCTGGTGCCTATGGCAACCACATCTCTTTATCATTGCTGGCTGGATATCTTTACTGTCTTTGTGGGTTGTTTTTGCTGCAGGTCAGATGGGCTGGACTGAGTTCAGTTTTCCCTACAAATGCTTCTCTTGCCCTCTGCCACACCTTCCCCATGCCAGTATCTTTTGGACCAAGAATACCTGGTTTGTCACACAAGATGACTCCGTGGTTGACCAGCCACAAAAGTCTAAATAATAATGCTTCTCTCTTAAGGAAACTGAGAAGCTCTGTTTACAAAAAACAGCTGCTGTTCTTAAGTTGGGCCAGAGGAAGCTTCTTACTGTGTTCTCAGGAGCTTGCAAGAGAAGGAGGAAGTAGGATAGGTTATGTTAAGGCCTTCCAACCTTGGCAACAACATAACACTGACCTACCTGCTGGTGGGCAGTAGTCAGTTTTCATTAGAATCACTTGGAAATCTTTTGTAAGAACTCACCAGCGTTAGAAACTGCAGTCAGTAAACTGAAGCTGGCCTAAATCCAGGGTGCACCCTTCCCCATCAGGCTCTTCCCAGTTCCATTTCCAGCTCATCTGAGTCAGCTGCTGGGCAGCTGTGAGAGGGCAAATCTCAAATCTCCCAACAGCCAGAGCCCGTCTTTCAGCATTTAGAACTGGCCTGCTTCAGTTTCTCTATGGGGCTGCAGGAAGGAAGAGATCTGTTAACTACTAAAGCAAGGAGCCCATAAAACCTCTTGTGGTGGACATGGTTCATTGCCACATTCTAGAAACCCTTTTTGAGCCAAACTTAACCCTGAGCCTTGAAAAACTGTTTTAACTGGTTTTTTTTTTTTTTTTTTTTGGTTTGTTTCGTTTTTTGCATTCTCCTCACTGTATATAGCCTGAATCCAAAGAAAGGGGCTATCCATGTATTCCACACACCTCAAAAAGGAAAAAAAAAAAAAAAAAAAGCCTTTAGTCCCTACTTTAGCCACTGGTTTCTCAACCCAAAGATTACGTTTATAGTGTAGTGTTACAAGTCTTGGGGGGAAAAAATGGCCAAAAGTGCGGTGGTGCACACCTCTAATCCCAGCACTTGGGAGGCAGAGGCAGGTGGCTACATAGAGACCTTATCTCAAAAGGAAAAACAAAAATGATGTAGTATCCAAAATATTTTTGTATTGTTAATGCATTATCATAGAAAAACTTTTTTAAACATGAGAATAAAGATTCTTTTTACTGGGTTTTTCAAAGCCTGACTGAGTAATAAGCTGTTTCAATTAACAGTGCCTACACTTAATGTTCCTTTTCTTCTGTCACAAAACCTAGAGTGTATTCCTTAACATGTACAAAGATGACAAGACAAACTGCAAAAAACAAAAAAAAAAAAATCAGTCTATCTCCTACTGGGGCTTGGTCCTGATCACCATAGCTGAGCTCACTTTCCAAGCTCTGCTCTTAATCCTTGGACACAGCATTCAAGGGAAGCCAGCCTACTCCCTAGTACCTTTGTACACCAATTAGTGGCAGTTGCCATCCAGACACTGGACAGTCCAACCTAAAATGTATTCAAGATCTACTTCCCTTTAAGGGCAGAGAAAAGACAAGACACTCTGTACTTCAAAGAAAAGCAATTCAGTCTTAAAATTTAATGTCACACAAGTCCTACACACACTGTTTTCACAAGGACCAACTGTTAAGGCACTTTTTCCCAGTTTTGTGTAAGACCTGTGAAGTCAGAATGATTATTTTGCATGCTATCCACCATGTTTAAAGTATACTGTGCTAACTTTTAGAGCTCTATCGTGGATGTAAATAGTATGAACATCATGCCACCTTAGGTCAGCCACTGGATAATGAATATTTAAGGACAGCCACCAGACTATTATCCTGCATTGCCACTGTCCCTGAATATTCTTTGGATTTACATCCCCGAAGTATTTATACAGGCCACTGGCTTAGACCTCTTTCTAAAGATGACCAGGCAGTCTTTGGAAATCTTGTCCTATTTTAAAGAAATCTGCTCTGGCTGTGGGCCTAGTACCTTCATTCTTACCAAGTGCAAGTTGGGGTTTTTCTGTCTGATCTTGTGTGTCCTCTTACGTACACTGGGTACATGAACAATACACTCTTTATGGAGTGCAGCGCCTGTGTGTGTGTTAGGGAGGGCACATTGGCAACACTTAGAATCAAAGCAACCAAAAACCAAATTTGAATCCTCCCAAATCACAGCACTACATTCCTGAGACCTGAGGAAGTCTTAAGGACCCGAGAATGGAAACCTAATTCAACTTTGTGACTCGTCACACAGGGAGCCAAGAACCCTCCCAATTTTCTTAGACATTAGAGAACAGGATATTCCCCTAGGCCCATCTGACCCATTCCAAAACAACTGGCATATACTTAGGATTCTCTGAAAGACATTATCTTAACTTTTCCCTGTGCTGCAGCTGCTTCCCATTCTGTGCTGGATGGATATAATGAAAGCTGAGTGCAGCAAGCTACCAAGGCCTTCCTATGTCTCCTAATTTGAAGGCTTAAGTTTCTCTCTTTGCCAAGCTCAGTGACTGGACTCTTCTGAGATATATCTCAAGTTCCTTTAGGCTGTGGAAGCCCGAGACAAACCTCTATCTCTGTTTGATAAACAATGAGCAGGAATAGGAAGGCCTAGCCTAATAGAAATAGGATGGCACTTTACACTCTGTGCTCCATTGCATCTTAATCCTAGGAAAACAGAAGGGACAAGAACTCTAAGACCATGTCACATCCTACTTACCAGGCAAATGTGTCAAGAATTTAAGACCCCAAATGAATTACATAAGACTGAGCTGGTTTTTCTCTGTGGTTATGAAGACTATGCTAGTTTCCTTGGGTCTTTTCAGAGCTTTCTTAAAAGTTTCTCTGTGCTTCCTTCTCTGACCTTCATGAATTCCTCAACGTATGTATTTGTGCACACACAAAATTATAAAATTTTTTAAAATCAAAGATCTGTGAAGGAAGATGCTATTGTACTTCGAAGGTAACTTTCTTCTAGGAGGAGAATTCTGAGAAGCACTGAAGAGGATGCAGGTCATTAGCAGAGCTAATATGCACAAGGCCTCCAACAGGGAAGGAGGCACATAAAATCTGATAGGCCAGACAACTGTCGTAGGAGTTTGCAGGACTGCACTGCGTTGTAGGTGGCAGCTATGCACTTTCTATGATGCAGAATTTGACATTCTTCAATCCTAGCTGGCAATCACCAATTGACAAAAGGCATTTCTCTAAGCCTCAAGGTTGATGAAGAACAAGTTCTCTTGTCTGGAAAATGTAACTCCATTGGTAGGGTACTTTTCCTGGCATATAAAAAAAATGCTGGGTTGAAATACCAAGGCTATGTGTTTCCCCTCAATCTCATTCTGCGCCTGAGTCACCTACTTCATGGGGTTTCTTACTTCTCGGCCTTACACAGGAATGCACGGACACCTGTTTTACAATCACCATATATAATATTAATTCTAGAGCTTCTACAAAGATGGGTTTGTCCTGAACACGCAGTGTTTCTGGGCTGGGTAAATGTATTGTTTATTGTAGCAGTAACTGGCAAGAAAAACACTCCAGCTAACACTGGACTATAACCTTCCTTCCCTACTGAACCAACACAATGGGGAAAATTATTTCTTAAAAATAGTTTCAGTAAGCAATGCTTTCTAAAAGAAAACACCAGATAATGATTTGCTTTATTTTCGTATGTACTTTTTAAATTTAAGAGTTTTGTGTTTGTTTGTTTAAAGACAAGTGATTGTGTAGCCCTGGCTCCTGGAACTTGCTCTGTAGACCAAGCAATCTTGAAACTCAAAGAGATCTACCTCCTCTGCCTCCCAAGTGCTGGAATTAAAGGAGCACGCCACCGCCCCCAAGAATCTCTTCAATTAAAAAATAACTGAATTTAATTCATTTGTTAAGTGAAGAGACACACTTACATCCACAAAAGCAACTGTATACTACCTATTGTATTACTTTTTATTGAAAGGCATCTTGCACTTAGGATGGCTGTTTTCTGAGTTTCACCATACACTTTAATGTTAAAGGTTAAATTACTTTTTACATGCAAGTAGTGTTTCCTCATCTAGTAACATCTGATGATAAAAGATGACATACCACATAAAGTAACTGTCTTTTTTAATTGAAAAGCTAACAAATTGTCTAGTTACATTCCCCCACCCCCAAACCGGGTAGTAAACTGAATCTCTACGCAACATATTCAAAGCTGAAGATTTAAAATTAAAAAAAAAAGGACAAAAGACCTCAGATCCAATTAGTAGGGCCCGGTTGCACACAAGCTTACCAGCAGCAAAGAGGTAGGAAGACATCCTAACCCCACTCCCAACATTAACTTCAGGTTGCCTGTTCCAGATTATGACTCATGAATAAAGATCATGTTTTGTTAATTCTATTTCAGAATAATTCTCAAGTTGTTTTATTTACAATGCCAACTTTGAAAGGCTTACTGAAGTTAACTGGACAGTGAACAGAAATCGCTTTACAGAATGAGGGAAAACCCAAAATGCCACTTTCCACAGAAAACCCATAGTTCAGTTTTATTCAGAGTAATGGGGGGGGGGGGGTAGGAAGTAACTTCTGCTCATAGAAGAAACTCAGCCACAGGTCTGATCTGTACGGGAACTACACATGCAGTAAGGACAAGGCTGCATTCGTCTACTGTTCTCTAATATTAACAACTATAAACAGAGCAGTGCAACTAGCATTTGGAACAACCTTCTAGTGTTACAATGTCAGGCACAGCATTTCACTTCTCTTCACACCACTGGTTCTCTTTGCGTACCTAGAAGAGACAGACAAGGAAGTACTTTGAGTGCTCTTTTCTGAGATGGCCAAGTACTATGTATACTATGTATCAGTACCCTGTAATGAAAAACTGGGAAAATACTATGTTAAGAGTAGACTTGGTGACTTTGTAAATCATCAAATAGCAGGTACAATGGAGAGCTGTAGTTCCATTCTCCAAGCTGGCAAGCAAACCCAACTCATCCACTCTTGTGTTATCAGGCCCCTATTTCTAAAGCCAAGTACTTATTTAGTATAAATGTCCCAAGTAAAAAAATTAAAATTTGAAAATGAAGAACCCCCGTTAGCTCAAAATCCAACTTACTTTATGCTTGTAGCAGTATCAGACTGGGCATGTCCCGGAAGTCAAGACTGCTCACTGTTACCCTGGAGGGCTTGTGTAATTCCTATCCCACTCCCCCCACCCCCCCACAACCACCTGCAACTCCAACTCCAGGGAACCCGACGCCCTCTTCTGACCACCATGCTCACACACACACACAAAATAAGCAAAGTCTTCAAGAACAGTATCATCTAAGTGCTTTAGATCCAGACACAGACCAAAAGTATAGGAGACAGAGATGTATACTATCCGTTCCCTCTATATCAAGACTTTTGTTGTTACTGGGGTTTTATTGTTTGTTTTCTGAGACAGGATTCCTCTGTGTAGCCCTGGAACTCAAACACAGCCTGCCTCAGCCTCCCAAGTGCTGGGATAAAAGGCATGTGCCACCACCCCGGCTGGTATCAAGGCATTTTAAAATGCATCCTAGGTAACTGCACTAATAAGCTGTAGCACTAGCCCAAGGCTTCATGATGGGTCTTTTTTCTAGTCATGGAACTGGGTTCCAGTTTCTTTTTAAAAAGTAATCAACTGGCTGTATGGTACCTACCTGGGCCTCCTCCTCTTCAGTAAAGTCATTTTTGATATTGAAGGTTTTACGAATTTCCTCAGGAGTTTTCCCCTTAATCATATTGGCCACGGTCTTGCATGTAACATCAAGCAAACCTTTGATGTCTAAGTAGTTTGCAGCCTGTAAATGATAGCTTATTTTAGTCATGTGTACTGAATGAGTGATTAACAATTTACATCAAATTGAGCTTAAAATGATTCATCTTTGATCTCTATGAAATTCTCTGTCCTTTAATACTGATTATTTTCAATGTATCTTCAACTTTCACTAATCTTCCTCATATTCTGCTTTACCTTTATCCCAGATTTTAAGTGTTTTACCTCAATTCAGTTAAAAATACTAATTTAAAATTTTTCTTTGGCGGGGCTGGAAAGATGACTCAGCGGTTAAGAGCACTGACTGCTCTTCCAGGGGTCCTGAGTTCAATTCCCAGCAACTACAAGGTGGCTCACAACCATCTATCATGGGATCTGATTTTCTCTTCTGGTATGTGTAAAGACAGAACACTCATAACAAATACATACTTTTAAAATTTTTCCCTTTGGCTTATAGATTACTACCAAATTACTAAATTTTCAAATATTTGCCATATTTTTTTTCAGATATTATTTTGAGCCAAGCTTTCACTATGTTGTCCTAAATGTCCTAAAACTTGCTATGTAGACCAGGCTGTCCTCAAACCCAGAGCTCATCCTGTCTCTGCCCCCTATATTCTGGGATGAAAGGTATGTACTACCACATCCAGCTTCAGACATTTTATATGCTTCTATCACTGAGGTCAGAGAACACATTTTGTGTAACTTGAATACATTTAAATCTGAGACTTTTATGGCCAGAACTTGGTCTATCTTGATGAAAATGTATATGGCTGTAATTAAATGTAATGTCCTACATGTAAATTAAGACAAGCAGTTCAACAGTGTTCCTGAACTGCTTTTCTACCACTTGTTATAATTAAGGAACAACAAAACTGAGGTTTCTAACTATGACTGAACAATTCTGTATTGACCTTTGTGTTTCCCTACTTTATTCACTTTTTGAAGTTCTGCTTCTAGGTAGATGTCTATGACTATGTACTCTTAATGAATCAATCCCCTTATTGTTATGAAATAGCCACCCTTAACTCCAAAATATAACCACCATTCCAACTATCTCTTGATTTGTATTAGCATACTCTTTTCCACCTTTAATTCTAATTATGTCTGTTTACTTAAAGTTCATTTCACAGGAGCAGCAAAAAAAAGTTCTGCTTTATCTGACCTGATTATTTCTACCTCTTAAAAGTGCTTGGACCATTTACATTTAATGTAACCACTAATGTATGTAACATTGCATATGAGTCCAGAGAATAAATATCCACAGTTGAAGATCAATGCATCTAGCAAATTCAACCCTTTAAATGGTGAAGGCTCTGCAATAGAACTACCTTATACAATAACATACCAGAATAAGTTCAAAAAGTGTTCCTTGGTCAACTTTCAGGAATTCTTGGTCCCAAACAGGAATATCATCTGTTCGTTTTTCTTTGTTCTCATCATCCTCAGGAGGAGGAGGGTCATCCTTGTGGTGGGTGCACCACTGAATGACCTACAACAACAAATTCTTCTGGCATTCTGTTACAAGACTTTGAGTTCAATGCTGGGGGCATCAAGCCTACACTGGGTAAGAACTAATTAAAGGTGGTCTAACAAAATGTTGAGTAAAAGTTTTAAGAAATTTAGTTATCATGTACACACACAAATATCACAAACACACACAAAATCCAGGGCTGGTAAGATAGTTCAGTCAGTAAAAGCACTTGCTGAACAAACATTAGGACCCCATTTTGTATCTTTAGTATCTATATAAAAAAGTTGAGACAGCATGCACTTTGCAACTCCTAGTACTGGTAGTGCCAGGGAGAGCTTGCTGATTGCCAGTCTAGCTCTAGATTCAGGAAACAGTAATATATCAGGAAACCTAATGTCTTCCTCTGTCTTCAGGTATATATCCAAAACACATGTATGCACATATCACACACACAAAAAAATTACTAATTTTCACAAACAATGGAAAGAGTAAAATCTAAGTTCATTATGAAGTCTAGACCGATATGATGGCACATGCCTACAATTCTAGCACCCACAAGGCAGCAGTAGGATTGCTTCTAAGTTCAAGGCCAGCCTGGGCTATTAAGCAAGGGCCCCATTAAAAAAGAAAATAAAAAGCACCAGGCCAGGAGGTTATAGTGTACACCTTTAATATCAGCACTTGGAAAGCAGAGGCAGGGGACTCTCTGAATTTGAGGCCAGCCTGGTCTGCAGAGCAAGTTCCAGGACAGCCAGGGCTACACAGAGAAAACCCGTCTTGAAAACAAACAAAAAGAAGTAAGAGCCCCCCCCACCCCCCGCAAAAAAAGGACAAAATAATCCATCCCAAGGACCGTACCTGGACTAGGGCTCAGCTGGTAATAGAACACACACACACACACATATATATATATATATATATGTGTGTGTGTGTGTGTATATATTTTTTTTAATAATTTATTTTTATTTCATGTACATTGGTGCTTTGACTGAATATATGTCTCTGTGAGAGTGGAACAGGAGTGACAGACAGTTTTGAGCTGCCATGTGAGTGCTGGGAATTGAACCCCGGTCCTTTGAAAGAACAGACAGTGCTCTTAACCACTGAGCCACCTCTTCAGCCCCTAGAACATATGTTAAACATGACCCTAAATTCAATTCCCAGTACCAATATAAGAAAAACAAAAACAAAATAATCACTTACCTTTTTTAGAATTGCTGCATTAACATTTGGTAAAGGAACAGGATCATCATCTCCCTCATCATCCATTCCCAAATCTAAGAAAACCAGGAGAGAGAAGGCATTATTTCTCAACTCCGTAACAACATACTATCTTAACAAGGATTTCTATTGCTGTGATAAAGTATCAAAAGCAAGTTAGAAAGAATTTATTTCACCTTATACTTCTAGGTTATAGCCCGCCAAGACAGGAACTGAAGCAGGACAGGAACCTGGAGGCAGGAACTAAAATGGAAGCCACTGCTTACTGACTTGTTCCTCTGCTTCACTCAGCTAGCTTTCTTATACAGCCCAGGCCTGTAGATGAGACCACCTACAATGGGCTGGGCCTTCCTACATCAATCATTCAAGAAAATGCCACACAGGCCAATCTTGTAGGGACATTTTCTCAACTGAGATTCCTTTTATATAAATGACTCTAGCTTGGTGTCAAGCATGGGTACATATACCTGTCAGTGATTTCATCAAGTATGGATAACTGAGCAACAATCTGGAAAAGGTGAATCCTGTATTTTCTTAAGCGAACCAAATTTTTATTTGTTCATTTCTTACATTTGAAGTACTCTTTGGGGATATCCTTGGCCTGAGATTCTTTGCCATAGTCCTTAGCCACCACACAACTATAATCAATCACTTTACAAGGTTTCCCTTATCCATCAATTTACACAGTCTTTAACTCCAGTTTGAGGAGAATCTAATGTTTTCTTCTGGCCTCTGTAGCGACTGCATGCACAGGGTACACATAGATATATGCAGGCAAAACACCTGTACATAAAAAATATATCTACGTCCTGAAGGTCAAATAAATAAAATGAGAAATCAAAGGTTGACCCTTAGGTGCTGCAAGTCTAGATGAGAACCAAAAAAAAAAAAAAAAAAAAAAAAAAAAAAAAAAAACAAAGTCCCAATTTTCATATATAAAAAAAAACATTCCTCCCCTACCACTACAAATACTGTTAAGAGACTATATTGTAAAATTTCTCTTTGGGTGATTGAGATGCTGACATTGCAAGACAACAATACTACCTTTGTTTAAATATAAAGCTATTTGAAAGAAGGCTTAAGTAATATTAAGGTCCTGATGGCTACGAAGAATTGCTCCTCTAGTATTTAGATATGCTCTGCTTTTTCTTTAGGACCATATATGAAAACAAAAACAAAATACATTCCTTTAAGCTATTCTGTTTCAGGGAATTCTGACAGACACCTGTATCTGATAACACTTGAACAAATAAGCCAATCCACATGCACACAGATTTTCACTTCTGATTATCCTCAGTTTAAAAAGTTTCATTTTGTTTTTTAAAATCACATGAAACTCTAACCAGTGGCACTGCAGATACAAAACAAAGAAAGCAGTAAGATGCCAAATTCAAAGAGCTCCGGATCTCCGGAGGCTAGATTCCTATAAGCTACAGGTACTTCAGAAGATGAACCCATTCTGCTTTGAGACCACAAAGGATACAGAAAGAATTCCTGAGCCAGTGCTATCTATCAGTCTTACTGTTAAAATTAAAGCACGTCTGCACAAGTTTCTAGGCAGCTAATGCTCTTAAAATTGGCAAATGCCTCTTTGAAGCAACACAAGACAGACCAGCACATCAGAGAACTGCTAAGATGAAGTAAATACTTCAGCTGACAAAACAAGTATTCAGGGAGCAAGTTTGCTGTCACTCACCAACCTTTCCAGAAACACTTGGACCACTTTCTCTTTATTATGGCCATTCAACAGGTACTTGACTTCAGGACATACCAAGGGGTTTACAGTCTTACTAGACGGAATCTACAATGTTCATTACCAGAATACAAAATTTCAAGAAAAACACCAGTTACCAGAGAGAATGTGTCCAGCTTGTATTTTAAAAAGTCACTCACACAGAAGATCTATCCCATGCAATTAGCATAGCAAGTCCTGCACCTCAGGTGAAGAGCACTTGTCTAATTCTCCACAAGCTGTGTTCAGCCTCCAGGACGGGAAGAGCCCTGTATCTCTATCAGTTATGCATCTGGAAAGCACTCGAGTCACCTAGAAATGTGTCTTCTTCCCTTGAAGGCATCTCCAACACAATTCGAAGTCTTTTTTATCTCTATCCTCTCAAATTCATCTTTACTAAACACAGTACTACAATCCTATCTAGAAACCTACTAAAAATATCAATTTTTAAAAAATTCTATCTATTTATTTTGTGTGGCTGGGTGTTTGTCTGCTTATGTGCATGCATCACCTGCATACCCAGTGCTATGGAGGCCAAAGAGGCTGCTGGACGGCCTGAAATTAGTTACAGAGAACTGAGCTGCTGTGTGAGTCTGAACTGTGTGGGTGCTGGGAACTGAACATGGGTCCTCAGGAGAAGCAGTCAATGCCTTTAACCACTGAAACATCTCTCAACCCCCCTCAATTCTTTAAGAGGACAGGTCTCACATGGCTCAGGAAGGCCTAAAACTTTCAACGTAGCACAAGTTGGCTTTGATCTTCCTGTGTGTTCTAATTACTGGCACACACCACCATAACTATCTTAACTTACTTTCCTTAATAATCCTGTCAACTTTGTCCCAGCATGATTTCCCAAAATCATGAAACTTAAAATCGGTCTCACTAGTACCACACACTGTAGTATTTCTAAAACATGGATTGATACCAATCAGGATGCTCCTGCAGCATCATTTGACATACAACTTTTATTAATGCACTAAGTATACTGAGAGATGGTTCTGTTTAGTATCTGGCACCTTCCTACTTTTTAAATTCGTTAAAAGATCAAGTCTCACCTTCTTTTCACCAGGTTATAGCTCCCAAACCTGTTCCAGGGACCTGCTTCAACCTCCCAAGTGCTAACATTATGGACATGAACCACTACACCTGGACACTCTTTGCCTCCTTCAAGTGTTTATAAGCTGCAAACTATTCCTATGTAAAACCTTGTGACTAAGTAATAGAGAACATTCTTACAAAGTTATTTCTCCCATCAAGTTTAAACACCAGTGTGTAGGTTTCCCATGCACACTATTTTAATATTAATTAGTAAGTTTTCAAAGGTTCAGAACCAATTATCTTATCTCACCTTTTTTCAATCACACAAATGTGTTGCAGCAATTTCATCATGATAACAAGTAGACAAAAAGAAAAGCTTGTTTCAAAAATAAATACATCAGCTGGGCATGGCAGTGCACGCCTGTAATCCCAGCACTCTGGGAGACTAGAGGCAGGCAGATCTCTGTAAGTTCAAGGACAGTCAAGGCTACACAGAGAAACCCCATCTCGAAAAATAAACATACATACAATATATGCATACACACACACATCTTGGGTAAAAAGCGCTTGCCTTGCAAGCCTGACCACCTGATTCAATGATGCTCAGAACTCACAACAGGAGAGAACCAACTCCCAAAAGTTGTCCTGAGGTATGCATAAATGTACAATACAGAGAGATACATAATAAAACTTAAATGCAAGGGCAGCTCAGTGGTTAGGAACACTTGCAGGGGACCCAGGTTTGGTTCCCAGCTCCCAAATCCAGCAGCTCCAATCCCAAGGAGTCTTATGCCCTCTTCTTGCCTCTACATGAACATGGTGTGGCGTACAACATACATGCAGGCAAAACAGCCAAACAGGAAAAAAAAAGTGAAATGCAGATTCTTCACGTGTAAACTTTTTAAGAGACTCTTCAACAGCATTCAATCCATGAGATTACTCTACAATAAAGCAAGCAGTTCTATTTGGCTTCCATACCACAAGACAACCCCCTTCCAAATACTTTGGTTTTTATCAGGAAAAATCAAATTGTAAATCCAATTTACTTGAAACAGAAATGGACTATTGCAGCCAGGCATGGTGGCATGTACCTTTAATCCCAGCACTCAGAAAATCAGAGGCAAGTCTACAGAGGGAGTTCCAGGACAGCCTGCACTGCAGAGAAGCCCTGTCTCAAAACTAAACAAAAACAAACAAAAAAAAGAACAAAAAGAAAAAATAAGTGATAGATAAGACTGTTTGATAGATATGGGAAGTCACATCAGGGTCAGCAAGATGACTCAGTGAGTAGAAGTACTTGCTATGAAAGAAGAGCAGAGTTTGAGCCTCAGAGTCAACAAGGCTGGATGTGGTGGCTGTAAGCTCAGCACTTTTTTAATGCATGTACATCTGCACGCCAGAAGAGGGCATCAGGTCACACTATAGATGGTTGTGAGCCACCATGTTGTTGTGGGAATAACTCAGGACCTCTAGAAAAGTACAGTGCTCTTAACCACTGAACCATCTCTCCAGGCCCTCAGCACTCTTTGTAGCAGAGACAAGGATGTATATTACAGTGGGAGAAAAAGAGAGTACCTGCCTCAAAAGGGGGTGAAAGGTAGGGCCTGGAGATGGCTTAGTGGTCAACAGAGCACTTGCTGCTCTTGGAGCAGACCCAGTTTAGTCCCTGGCATCCCACATTGGGCAGTTTACAAGCACCTGTTACCTCCAGCTCCAGCTGGATCCAATGACTCTGGACTTCACAAGCACTTGCAAGAATGTGCATATACTAAACACACACATTAACAATAAAAACTTTAAAACACAAAAAGGTAAAAAAACAAAACAAACAAACAAACAAAAAACAAAGTAGCCAGGTATTGTGAGCACACCTTTAATTCTACCACTTGGGAGGCAGAGACAGGTGGATCTCCCTGAATTTAAGAACAACTTTGTTCACCCAGAGTTTCAGGGCAGCATGAGCTACAACCCCAACAAGGTGAGGTAGAGGAGGCGAAAGGAGAAAAACTGACTTCTCAAATACACTATCTGGTGTGACACCACATGGCTGCCCACACAATAATCTTGTTTGTTTGTGAGACAGGGTCTAACTATGTAGTCTTGGCAGGCCTTGAACTCACAGAGATCGGTGTCTCTGCTAAGTGCTGGAATTAAAGTTATGAGCTACCACACCTAGCAAATCTTTTTTTATTGTTCATGTTTTGTTTTTGTTTTTTGAGACAGGATATCTCTTGTGTAGCCCTGGCTGTCCCAAACTTTGTAGACCAGGCTGGCCTCAAACTCAGAGATGTGCCTGCCTCTGAGCCCTGAGTGCTGGGACTACAGGCATGCACCACTGCACTCAGCTGCCTAGCAAATCTTAAAAACAAAAAAACCCAACACTTTAATAGCTTATAGTTTCATTCACACAATGCAGAAGAAAATTACCTTCTTCACTCTCAAGCTTGTAACAGACTGGCTCAAGTAAACCTAATACTTGGAATTTACACGATCCTATCCTAAATTAAACAACCCCTTTCTCCACACCAAGATTTCATAAACTTACCTTCCAGCATGGTCTTGATGGTCACAGATTGTTTGGCAATTTCTACATCAACTTCAAATATCTCTCCATCAGAACTCTGCAACTTTATCGAAGGCATCTAACAAATAGGAATTTAAGAGCTATTTATTTCTTTTACAAGACATTTATCTTTTACAAGACATTACAAGACTAGTCTGTCAGAAAATTAAGTTACTGTATAGTTCTAAGTTCTTCACAACAAGCGTATAATTGTTATTAAAAAAAAAAAAACTTATTTCCAAGTCCAGTTCCTTTAAACATCAGCCTTAAAGGTCCACTTAAAGGCAGTACTACATTTACAACTGTATTAAGAGCTATCTATATTTCTGACATTTACTTTTAGAATGTGTGTAGGTGTGCATATACCTTAGCACAAGTGGAATGTGGAGGTCAGAGAAGAAGTTACAGGAGGCAGCTTTCCCTCTACTGTGTGGGTTACTGGAATCAAATTTGGGTCATCAGGCTTGGCAGCTGAGCCATTTGCTAGCCCCTCAAAAAATTTTAAGATATGTGCTTTCCATACTCCTTTATGCACCCGTGGAATAATAACTTCTCAATCTGAAAAATTAACTGCCACAAATAACTACCTACAAACCTGAGAGAAGTCAGTCCAAAATAAACAAAGCTTGTTATCAAATAAAAGTAAATTTCATACTATGAAATCTACTATTGGGAAACAAGTAATCGACTACAAAAAAAAGACCAGGATGTGCTAATTTATATCTAAAGAAAAACAAGACAACACACAATTACTTAAAAGACATATAAACAGATGTCAATATGATCCCTAAAACCTGTAAGGAGCTCAAATTTAGAAGAGTCCTTTTAAAATTTTCATTACCTATTGTTCAGGTGTCCAAGTTTGAGATCTTCTAAGTCCCTACAAAAATACCTGCTTCAAAAATGCATTTAAGCCAGCAATGGTGACCCATGCCTTTAATCCCAGCACTCAGAAGGCAGAGGCAGGTGGACCTCTCTCTGTTAGTTCCAGGCCAGCCAAGGCTACAAAGAGAAAACAAACAAAACACAAAACAAAAAGGCTTTTAAAGCTAGGAGCGGTGTTTTATGTCTTTAATCCTAATACTCAGGAGGCACAGGCAGACAGATCTCTGTGGGTTGGAGGCCAGGTTGGTCTAAATAGCTAGTTCCACAACAGCCAGGGCTACATAGAGACCTTTGTCTCAAAAAAGAAAAGCAAAACAACAAAATGCATTTAAGTCACGATGGCACATGCCTATAAGCCCAGTACCTGAGAGGCAGGAATTCACACATCAGGCGCACAGCCAAGTTCAAATCCAGCCTAAGTTCCAGGAGAAACTGTCTCAAATATATATAAATAAATCTAAAATGGCCAGGATGGTGGTGGTGGCATATACCTTTAATCCCAGCACTCAGGAGGCAGAGACAAGCAGATCTCTGAGTTCAAGGCCAGCCTAGTCTACAAAGTGAGTTCCTGGACAGCCAGGGCTATAGAGAAACTAGTCCTAATAGTGCCCAATTTTTGGAAGGCTGAAGATCATAAATGAGTACATAATGAGTTTAAGACAGCCTTTGAGGAACTTAATAAGAGCATGCTTCAAAATTAAATACAAGAGGTTGGATATTTCGCTCATTAGTGTAACCAAGTTCAATCTATAACACTGTCTTCTCACCCTGCCCAAAAGGTGAACCAGGACATAAGTACATGCCATAATCCCAGCATTTTGTCAAGAAGCAGGATTGGGGTTCAAGGCCATCTTCTTGACACATAGAAAATTTAAGGCTAGCCTGGGTTTCTTAAGACCCTGTCTCAAAAATTGAACAACAACCCCAAAAGCCAGAAACCCCATTAACTCAGACAAACTATGAGACATTAGGAAAACATATATAATAATATATTTTAAAAATTAAGCAACTAAGTCCTAACATGACTTGAATTTAAGGAAAAAACAAAACCAAACAAAAACAAATCTAATAATAAAAGCTCTAAGCCAGCATTTTCTTATTTCAGACTTCTCCCTCATTCCTCCAAGAGGATTAATTCAAGACCTCTTTAAAATGTGCATGCCCCCCCCCCCCCATACCTCTATCTATCTGGTAGTTTTTCAAGGCAGGGTTCCTCTGTGTAGCCCTGGTTGTCCTGGAACTTGCTCTGTAGCCAGGGTTAGTCTTGAACTCAGAGATCCACCTACCTCTGCCTGCAGTGCTGGGACTAAAGGTGTGCGCCACAAACTGCCTCACATGTAACTTCTGAGGTAGACAGAAGAGTTCAATGTTACTATCTACTAACTTAAGGTACTTCTGAAGCTTTCTGGATCTGGGTTGTTAATAATGCAAACTTTCACAAAAGTATAGGGTTTGGGGCTGGAGAAATGGCTCTGAGAGATGGCTCTGTTCTTCCAAAGGTCCTTAGTTCAATTCCCAGCAACCACATGGTGGCTCACAACCATCTATATAGTAAGATCTGGTGTGCAGGTAGAATGTTGTATAAATAATAAATCTTAAAAAAAAAGTAGAGGGTTTGGCATTTAAAATAACCACTGACTGCATCCATTTTAGAGTCAGCACATCTCCTAAAACAGTCTTTCAGCCTTCCTGAAACACTTGTTACCTTTCCTCAAGTAACTAAGCTGTGAGAAAGGGGCGGTGGAGGTAAGGCTGTTTTACCATCATCCACTGAAATATGCAGCTCATTCATTCCACGGTTGGAGGCAATCCGATTTCGCTTTTCAACTCACAAACCTGTCTGCTCCTCCATGTTTCTCAGTGCCTGCCAATAATGCAGAACTGAGCTCAGAACAGTAGCCCCCCCCAACTATGATAAGGCATCAATAAAAGTTAACAATAAAATAAAGGCCAATTTTTAACAGCAAAACACTATGTTCTTTTTATAGTCCCTAGTACTGTAATAAACACTCAAGAACAAGTCTAACTTTGTAGTTGATAAAAACCACTTTAAAAGACCATTCCATATTTCCTTGAAATAATCCACAATAAATAAAGATGTGCTTAGTCATAGTCAAATTTAGGTATTAGGTTACTGGTTAAAAGAGCCAGGATCTTATTAAATAACAGGGAGGCAATCGGTTAATCTGTAATTCAATGCACTCAGTAATCCTAGACCTAACTTTTGTTGTTGTGTTGGCATTAAGAGCAAATTTTTTTAAGTAATAATGCATGAGATTTCGATTTGATATGCTTTTCAAAAGAAACCCTCTTCAGTTCTCTTAAGTTCCTGGACTTGGAAATTAAACCACCATCCAAGGCTGGAATAACGAGAATTCTATTACACCAGACTTTAGAAACAAGCCTGCTTCAGGTGACTCGAAATTCTGACTCTTGGAAGAGACTGCATTGTTCTATGCCACAGGCACATTCTGTGACATTGTGATGAAAAACCGCCAAGTCTCCAAACCTGGGGACTCCACTAGAAAGCGAGCCAAAAGACAGGTGTTAACACCATCCCTTGGAAACAAACAAACAAAAAAACTCAAACAACCTCAAGTTTTAGCGTCAAGGGCTCCTAAGTCACACACCTCAGACGACAGGGTCTATTACTAGCAGTTAAGTTTTCAGAAGAGACTGCAGGACGTATCAAAACAACGCAAAGAAATGTCGAGGGTCTGTTACCTGCAGTTTCTATGGTAGAATAAACAAGACCAATCAATCAGGAGCCAGTGACGCCAGATACATGAGAAAAAGAAGGAGCCAAGAATCGAGTGGCAACGATCGCCACCACCTGGGCGGCCAGAGCCCCTACTCAAAGCCCCGCCGCCCACCCGCCCCGGAGCGCGGGGCAGCCGGCCTGTCGCTGGGGCAGGCCCGGGCCGAAGCCTGGGCCTTGCAGCCGCGTTCGGGCCTGACTGGCGCCGCCCGCGGACGGACAGGCCCGCCACAGGGCTCGGCTCCCACTAGCCAGGAGAGCGCCGAGAGGATGCGCGGCCCCGGGAGGCCTGCCTCGGCCGACTCGCGCATCCGGGGTCGGCAACGGGCCCCATGGCGCTCCAGGGTACGCCAGCCCGAGTGGCCGCCGTGGCCGCCGCCTCCGCCTCGTGCAGGCCACAGCCTCCGCCGGGCTCCCGCCCGCTCCTCCCTCCCTCCGTCCCTCGAGGGACCACGGCCCGGTCCGGCTCGCGGGCGGCTACTCACGGTGCTCGGTCTCAAGACCGCAGGCCCGAGGCGGACGGGCGGCGTTCACACAGCGAGAGCAACACCGAGGACAAGGCCACTACAGCAGCGCCGCGCGGCGTCGGCTCTTATAAGAGCGGGACGCGGGCGACGAGGACCCCGAGCTCGTGACGTCACACAGCCGGCCGGGCTGGCCGTTGAGATCGCCTGTCTGACGGGTGGCGGGCGGAGGGTGGCGGGCCAGGCCCTAAGCGCCTCCCTCGGGGGTCTACGGGACAGATGCGGACGGGCGACGGGTGGAGAGACCGCTAGGTAGGAGAGGAGCTTCCGCCTTACTCCTCTGTCCTCCAGAGCGCCGTGCTCTCTTTCGGGGCGGACGCCGGCTGAGGTACCGTCGCGACCCCGAAGGGCCTTTCAGGCAGGAGCTGTCTTAAAATGCTTGAAAGACCCCAGTCACGAAAAGCCTGGAAACAACAAACCGCAAAACCGGTTGGGGGGGGGGGGGTTCACCTAAAGGATTCACCTCAACCTGACCATCTTTAATCTCCCAATAACCCAAAGAAGTGAGGTTTTTGTTTGCCGACCAGGGATTCGGGACTTGGACCTTCCTACTCCACTGATACTGGAATTTTTTTTTTTAATCTTAGGGTGTGAGGAAAGGTGTCACTTTAGCCCAGGTGGCCTGGAACACCTGACCTAATACACCCTGCTTATTTGATTTCAAAAGTTTTCTTTGTTTTTAAAGGCAAGGTCTCGTTTGGTTCAAGGTGGCCACAAATTCATTATGTAGACCAGGTTGGTCAAAAACTCATGCGCTGGGATTACAAGCATTCTTCACCATACATACTTGCCTAATACTCTTTCTGTTTTGTTTTGTTTTGTTTTGTTTTGAGACAGTGTCTCACTGTGTAGACCAGGCTGGCTTTGAACTAAGATCTGCCTGTCTCCCAATTGCTAGCGCTGGTTTCAGAGACAAGCAGAAGATACATTCTTTGGGTAACCTCGGCCCTGTGTGTGAGACCTGTGAAGCCATTCCTGGGGATCCAGGACAGTCAGGCCGAACCTAAACAGGCCATGTTGTATGGGCCAGCTCTCAGAAGGCTGTGATAGGTCGCTAGAATGAAACAGCTTTGAAGAGAGAGGCCTGAAAGCACCCATCTGGCCTCGTCCCAGCCAGAAACTGTGCAATTGCCTGTCCTGCCCTGTTGTGTCTAGGGAGCATCCCTGTCCCCACCAAGGCGCCTGGCTCACCTCGCCAATGAGCACGTGATGGTATTCCTGACACCACAAAGACAAAAGACACTTCCATTGCAGGGCCTCATAAAGAAACCAGAGACTACAGTTTCTCTAGGACAAGACTGGACAGAGAGGCCAAGCAGTGGCTTGAATTACCAGGTCTTTGTCTGAGGGCTACGGTATCCAGTGTCTGCCAAGTGCCACAGCTGATCGCAGAAGATGAAAGGCCCAAGGTTCTCAGGCTCCTTCCTTGCAGCACAGCTCCTGCTGCGAGCCTCCCAGGAAAGGCCACTGGGGAGTCTTTTCCTCCACATGGCATAAACTTGGTGGGAGTCTTGGGCAGTGCCGGGTCACATACATCTAGACTTAGGCTAGCTGGTTTCTTAGAAACCAGCACAGAGCTTGGCACAAAATGGTTTTTCAGATGTATGAGAGCCTCTCAGAGTTACCAAGAGATAACTGGAGGAGAAAATGGAGATTTGGGTGCTAGGGAAAGTTAAGCATGCCTGGGTCCCTGGGATCAATCCCTGACACTCCCAGACTATTTAACAAATCGTTTGATGAAAATAAGCAGCTGGGGCAAAAGTTGGGTGATTTTTATATATTTTTCTGTCATTTGGGTATTGATTCCCAGGAAGGTAATTACATAATAATTTCCTCCCTATAGTGAATTGGACACAGTACTATATCACTCCTTAGCTGTAGTCTTTGAAAGTCTGTTCTCTGGGTGTGTGGTCCACTTAGTAGTGTGCTTGCCGAGCATGTGTGAGGCCTGGGGTTTGATTCCCAACACCCCCATAAACTGTGCACCTGTCTGTAATCCTAGTGCTCAGGAGGTGGAGGCAGAAGAATCAAAAGTTCAAAATCACCCTCTGCACTTAGTGAGTTCAAGGCTAGCCTGGTCTACATAATGTTGGACCAGCCAGGGCTATACAGCAAGAACCTAAATCAAAAAATAATTTTTTAACACTTTATTTATTTTATGTATGAGTATTCTATCTGCATGTGCCCCTGCATGCCAGAACAGGGCGTCAGTTCCTACTATAGATGGTTGTGAGATACCATGTAGTTGCTGGGAATTGAACCCAGGCCCTCTAAGGAGGAACTAGATAAGTGCTTTTATCCACTGAGCCATCTCTCCGGCCCCCCCCCAAAAAAAAATGTTTTAAGTGAATAATACAGTAATTAATTGGCGCCAGTCAAGCAAAGGCAGCTGACCCCATTTTCAGTGTAATGAATCTAACCTGAGAGCAGGTTTTTCTGCTTTTTAAACTATCCAAGGTGATTCTTAAGCTTAGGGTAAGTGGAGAAACTTCTGTATAGGGCCTCAGTGATAACACATTGCCAGGAAGGAGCCAGCAGTATTTATCAGAAAAGACTGGATCAGTGCCACACTTTTTAAATCAACCCTACTTTCCCTGGAAACCTCCACCCCAGAGCCAGGATAGCTACAGAATTACAGGGTATAAGCTGGGAACGATGTGTGTCTGTCCATTTTATTAATAATTGTCAGTCGAGATCTAAAAGGACTGGCTCCACAGGGTCACTTGGGTGTCAAAACCCTGTTTGGCCATAAGTGATGATACACACATGGAACCCTAGCACTCAGGAGGAGAGGCAGGAGGATCAGAAATTTGGGGTCAAGTCTGGGTTACATAATGAGTTTTAGAGCAACTTGAATACCACAGGTAGCCTGCTTTGAAAGTGACAGCACACCAAGACTAAAGAGATGGCTCAGTGTTTTTAAGAGCCCTGGCTTTCCTTCCAGAGGACTCAAGTTCAGTTCCCAGCACCCACATGGTAGCTCACAACTGTAACATCAGTTCCAGGTGACCTTTGTACCAGTGCACATAAACTAAAATTAGTTTATTTTTAAAAAGAGAGAGAAAGAACAATAAATCGTTCTCTAGGGAGGAAGGCAACAAAGCTGAAAAGACCCTCCCGGTGGCAAACTGAGAAGCAGAGCTGTGGCTCCCACACGCACCCCAGGACAGTCCTGAAGAACTCAGTCCAGCCCCTCATCGCCACAAACAAGTTGTGATATACACTTGTTTCCGAGGCTACAGCCTCTAGGCAAAGTGAAAGCCTGTGAGTCAGGCAGGGCACTTGGGAAAACGTGGATGTTTTGGTGTTATTTTTGGAGGTGATTAGCCTTATTGAGTCTCCACTGCTGTATGGCTGTCGTCATCCCCACCCCCCTTCAGGGAATCCAGTGACCTCTTCTGGCCCCTACAGGCGGAGTGCCCCTACACGGCGTATTTACACATATGCAGGCAAACAGGCTGTGCTGGCTAGTTTTATGTCAACTTGACACAAGCTAGAGTCATCAGAGAAGAGAGAACTTCACTTGAGAAAATGTCTCCAAAGGTACGGCTGTAAGGCATTTTTTTAATTAGTGATCAGTGGGGGAAGGTCCCGCCCGCTGTGGACAGTGTCACCCCTGGGATCTGTAAGAAAGCGAGCCATAAGAACAAGCCAGTAAGCTGCACCCCTTCATGGCTTCTTCATCAGCTCCTGTCTCTGGGTTGCCCGCCCTTGCTGCTTTTGATAATGAACTGTTATGCGGAAGGGTGAGCGAAATAAACCCTTTCCTCCCTGAGTTGCCTTTGGTTGTGGTGTTTCATCACAGCAATAATAACCCTAACTAAGACATACTCATACATACAAATAAATAAATATTTAGCACAAAACAACAAATACACCAGGACTTTGGAGTTAGGAATGTAGCTTAATTGCTAGAGTGCTTGTCAACAGGCACAAAGCCCTGGGCGCAATGCCCTGCACTATGCAGACTAGACATGGAGGGTGCACACTTTTTGATCCCAGCACTTGAGACAGAAGGATCAGAAGTTCAAGGCCACTCTCAACTACATAGCAAAGTTGGAGGCCATCCTGAGATACAGGAGACCCTGTCTCAATCAGCCAACCAGCCAATAAATCAATCAAATGACACTTAGTACTTGATGTTTCCTTTCTTAGGCATTCACCTGTAGGGCAGACTATAAACTTTTTCTTTTTTCAAGACAGGGTTTCTCTGTGTAGCCTTGGCTGTCCTAGACTTGCTTTGCAGACCAGGCTGGCCTGGAACTCACAGAAATCCGCCTGCCTCTGCTTCCCTGAGTACTGGGATCACAGGCATGGGCCACGACACCCAGCTCAGACTGTAGACTCTTAAATATGTGTTCTAGGCCACAGGATAGCATCTAAGCTAAGTAGCTAGCTGTATACCAATTTCCTCGGAGATAGAACATTTTTTCTCAGAGGGAAGCTCCTAATGACTCCACAGTGTTCTTCTAAAGGGAGGTGAAAAATTCCATCCTGCAGGGAAGGGCCTTAACACTCAGGAAGTAAACAACTCAAGTACCTGAGACTGGCCAGGTCCCCAAGGAAGTAAGGAACACAGAGAGACATTATCAGAGAAGTCCCAGCTGCCTGGAAGAGGCAAAGCCCAGGGAACTGACTCTTTAACCTGTTGAGCTGCCTGCAAGCTGTGCAGCGGGCTGCAGGTTTCCGGTTTCCCTGAGCCATCACCCATGCTGGGGTGGGCTTTTGGTGACACAGCTGTCTGTGAGGCATTGCTGCTCTTGTAGGTAATCCCTCACCCGAATAAAACCCGCCGCTCCACTAACGAGCTCAGTGGTTGCTTGCTTCGCTCATCTGTTCCCTATCTGCGGATTGGATGGCTGTTCCCATCTCTCCTTCCGCACAGCGTCTCACACACAGCAGCAGCAGTAACTCAGCGTGCTTGTTCAGAGACCTGGCTGCAGCCTGCCGCGGTGTTGCCTCTCAGTCCAGTTCTCAATGGCCACTATACAGCTCACCACCTGCCTCTGTTATATAATCCCCAGTGATCTACTTTTTCTCTGGGCCTCGTTCTCCTGTATCGGAAGAATTGAATT